ATGGGGTTTGTTTGAGTGATTAATTATCAGTATCTAATCTGACAAAAATATATTTATTCAATGTTGGTTACATTATATTGCATGTGCAGCACATTGAACTTTTGTAGAGATACATTTAGCCATTAACTTTTAAATGCATCATTGCAAACACATGAGGCGAGTCTCCGCATGAAAGACCCACGACTGGCAGATCGTGCTACAACATTTCTCTCTGAAATGGTAACATATTATATTAGATTGAATGGAAGATTTTAAATGTGACAGATGATTGACAGGGAAGTTTACGGTGATAGGATGCACGGAACAGATCTGTCCTCTAAAGATGACGAAGTAAGCTTGCCCACTCTTATATACTCAAAGTATGTACTTTTTCTTTACAAAAAAAGTAGATACTTTTAGGGCATAGTATAAGTGGGCGAATTGGGCAATAGTTTCTAATTAGTTACTCACCTGTTCCCAGTTCCTTTGATTAGTCTCCCTTTGTATTTAAGTCCTTAGTTCCCTTTGTTCAGTGTTCAGTTTCATTTGTGCTAAGCTTATTCCTGTGATCTCCTTCATGTTCTTTGTTTTCTTTTTGGATGTTGATCTCCTTCGTGTGCTCTACAGCCACAGCGTTATAATGTCCTTGCTGAATAAGAGATTTTTTTCGTGTGTTTTATTTTTCCAAATGGCAGAGGGCATGGCCAGTAGTTTGTCGCTTGTCGCCATGGGAACAATAGGGTGGTGTAAAGGGCATAGCTGGCCATGACTCCATTTTATTGGCCCTCCATCACACACACAACTGCACAGTGTGTATGTGAGTCCCCCAACAGTAACAACGTCCAACTGGAGGACAGGGTGAAACCGGCCACTATAAAGAATGAGCGATAAAGTCCATTGTGTATGTTTGTTTGGCTTTGGCTCGTGCGTTTGGCAGCGCTGCAGTGTTGTGGTGTATTCAGTGACTTCTATTGTAAATGCACCTCATGCACAAAGCACTGTCCTAATGTTTCAGCCTGAAGAAACTGCAGGTTCTTTCTTTCATGTTTCCAGCTCACAAAGCAATGGCACCCAGTATTCAAACTTTCCACCTGGGACAAAACAGTCGGTCCCTCTGCGCTGTTGATTTGGTATTTGAATAGGTCTTTCGTAGATACTTGTGTGTCTTCGTCATGCGTTATGTAAGACGTCTTTCAGTGCATGTAGTGCATGTACTGGTGAAAGGGGTGACTCCCATCATCACATGTATTGTCTGGCAATGATGTTTCTGTCACTTTGATATTTAAAGGGACCATATAAAGGAAAACAACGCTGCAAAAACTTTATTGCAATTGTGCCTTTATATCTTACGATATGATTTTGTATCTCACAATTACAAACGTATTTCCTATAATTGATTTTTTTATACTGTAACTCATAAATGCAATTTTATTTTATGTTATTGTGAATTTATATCTCAGACTGTCTTGTATTTCTTAAAATTACAACTTGATTTCTCATAACTACTCTTATAATGACATTTTAGCTCACACATGCATCTATTTATTTCCCATAATTGTAACTATTTATATCTCATGAATGCTACTTTATTTCCCATAATTGACTTTATATTTTAATCAATGACCCTATCTTACAAGTGCAAGTGTATACTTTATTTCTCATAACTGCCTTATATCTCTCAAAATACTTTTTTCTTATTTTAAACTTTTTCACAATTACGTGTTTTATTTTTTACTCTGAAGTAGAAACTGTTTTCAAAAGAAGGTGAACTGAAAAATATATTAATAACTAACTAAATTATGACTTTGGGTGCTGAAATAGTTTTTTTTTTTTTTTTTTTTTTTTTTTTTTGCTAAATACCTTTACTGAGATTGAAGAAAAACAGAAAAAAAAGAACACCAACACTAAAATGCTATAAAATCATTGAATACGGCTTTAAGTCTAAGTGAATATTTGAATATCCTTTGAATATTCTCTCCCGAAACAAATCAGTGTTTCCAAAATCCATCTGCAGCACTTGATAAGAGACATGTGCTTTATTTTAATCAGGAAAATTAAAGTGGCTGTTGATAATTTATAGACTCAATAACCCCAAGAGTGTTATCAATTTGCTTCACTGAAGAATTATTCCAACATGGCCAACAAACCCTTGCTGTCGGCGCTTGTGTTTTCCCTCTTTCTTGTTTCCCTCTGCGTTCTCAGCCTCACCCTTTCCCATAAGTATTTTGAAACCCTTTCCTTCTTCTCCATCCAATTGGCTTCCGTTCGCACCAAAGTAGGTCTTATACCGGGTTCAAAACCTCTGAGAAGAGTGTTGGTGTGGATAGATGTTTTTGTGTGTGTGTGTGTGTGTATGTGTGGGGAGTGTTTTGCAATAATTATGGAAATTTATGAAAACTGGCTCTGGATAAGAGCCTCACAGACTGCAATGGACGCCATCTGAAACGCATACACACACACACACACACACACACACACACACACACAGTGCCATGGGCTAAGATTACAGGGTGCTGTGTAAACAGGGTCTGGAAGATCCCCTGCAGTCCCAGAACAGAGGCAGAGCTCCAGAACTCCATTAGAACATGTCAGCAAGACTCGAGCAGCCTCCCCCATCCCCTTCCATACACTCTCTTTTGTGTTATTGAGGGTGTTTTATTTGTGTTATTATATTGGATAAATTAACTTAGCCAAAGAGTAAGACTGTGACAGGTTCGTTTACCGTGTTTTGAGTGGTAACATGTTCACCTATTTGCTAAAATGGCCTGTTGTATTGGAGAAAATGCTCAGTCAGGTGTATATACTGTATATACGGTATGTTTTTGAGTTAGTACCCGTACCCCCGGGCGGTTTTTCCACTCTCGAGTTGTATTATGAATGTCACGGTTACACAGGAGGTAATAGCTTGGTTTATAGTGTGTGAGTGGGGAGAGAACCAGTTCAGACGTTGTGACAAATTTGATCAGTTCCCCTGTTCCCCATCTTGGTTTACCACAAAGGCATAATGTAGCTATAAAGAACTGTTCCTCTACATCCATAATATAAGGCAAGTGTGCAAAGAGCCGTCCAAACCCTCGGTGACTTAGCAGTATATGGTAAAAATAGAAACGATTTTTAATATTCCTAATTTAGAGCAGCTACTGAATGAATGATGCTGAGCGGGAATTAGAAGGAAAGCTCCTCTCTCTTTCTCTCTCTCTCTCTCTCTCTCTCTGAATAATTAAAGAGAGAGGGAGGGGGTGAGCAGGCTCCCCAACAGTGCCGAACGGGTCCCCTCTCTGACCAGGGCCCTTAAAATCATCCCAGGGCTCAGACTAGTGTTTTTTAGTGTGTTACTATGTGGTTGCTAGGGTGTTCTGTGTACTGGCACAAGTCAAAAGAGCCCACTTTTTATGATGACATTTTGTCTGTTTTTTTTTTGTTGTTGTTGTTTTTTAAATAATTTAATCAAATGTGTTTTTGTATTTGATATTTATGTGAAGTTTTATTAAATTCATCACAATGCATTCTGTGATTGCCTTGACCACAAGGGACCTATGCAGTGCTGCATTAGAAAGTGGTCAAAACGATCTTAGAGGGCTGAATATCGTTACTGCCTACCTTTTGGAACATCCTTTGTAACGGGAGGAATAGTCCCATTAAAATAGTTCACCCTAAAATTCAAATTCTGTCCAATTCTGTTCACCCCAAAATAAATCATCATTCACTCACCCTTATGTCAGTCCATATATTTTGAATGTCTGTACAATGAAAGTAAGTGGGATCCAGTGTTATTTTGGACCCCCATGACTTTCATTCTAAGGTCAAAAATTAAGGACATTAAGGAAACTAAGGACAATTTATGGTTCAATTATCCCTTTAAAGATGCAGTGTGTATTTTTTAGCGACATCTAGTGGTTTATCCTCACATAGCAAAGCCATAACACAGCGATGTAGAAGAACTAAGTTACATGAAACAATCCAACTACATATTTTACACCACTGACAAGGGAAAAGTCACTACTCACTGTGTTTATCGCTATAGCTTCTAACTTTCTGCGGCTTCATGTAGTGACAAAACGCGTCGGTTCTGTAGCGCTGTTGGCGTTCGGCTAGAAACATGACGTCACAATATGTCGACCCTCATAGAACGGGGTGCCCGTGGTTATGTAGATATAAATGTCTCATTCTAAGGTAATAAAAACATTAAGGTTTATTAAGTAAGTTCTTTATACATGACTGAAAACATAGTTATGGATGTCATATTGCATTTCTGTTATTAGATACTCACAATTTTTACACATTGCACCTTTATAATGATATATAGGCAAGGAGGCATGCAACTCACTAGAGGTTTCAAACCAAGATTGATTCCGATTGTTTCTTGAGCATTACAGGATTGTTCGTAAACTCTATTAAATTTTGACGATACGTCAAATCTGTCCAGTGCATTTTCCACACAGACATCTCCCTAAAAAAACGACTTAATATAGCTGTCTGCTCGCTTCATTTAGTTCTGAAGAGCAGAGAAGGACGGACAGGCGTTTAGTGCTGTTTTTAACGTAAAGACATTGTCCCTGACATACTACATACAGCGATCCCTAGTGTGTAATCTTGTTGGCAGCTTGAGGGTATTTTCCCTTTAAATATGTGTGTGTGTGCGTGTGTGTGTAAAGTCTGTCTGGTGAAAGCAGCCATGGGATTTACAGCTAATCTGATCAGCAGATGGCAAAACATCAGATATTCTGTTTGAGCTGGAGAATGGATATTTAACAACACTCTCACACACACTTTATCCCTCGTCATAAACATTGACATATACACAACAGTATGAACTTTGCTATAAACACTCGTGTTCATTCTTGCATAGTGTCACGTGACCTACTGTGTGTGTATGTGATGATACTAATATTAATCCAGTGACCTGGATTGAGTTTGACTGGTGGAAGCGAGGCTGACGTATTTAGAACACACGCCATTCCACAGCTACTTCCAGAGAGAGAGAGAAAGAGAGAGAGAGAGAGACAACAACCTCCCTCCCTTCTGCTCCCTCTCTCTCTCTCACTCACACACGCGTCTTGTAAGAAGGCAGTATGAAATCTGCCACAGTATGGGCTGAAGACCATACTGAGGATACCCACCGCTGAACGACAAAGGCAAAACGAACAGAAAGAGTTCAAGAAACAACAACAAAGAAGTCACGGGCACATTTAAAGCGGGGAAAAAAAGGAAAGACAGGCTGGAAAATTGGAGGGAGGGAGCCGTGGAGACGGAGCGAGAGAGAGGAACAACCCGTCTGTCTGTGGCGGGACAGCAGACGGCGAACGCTCACGGACCAGACGCTCACACACACACCATGGTGGTCCAGGCGGCTGTGACGCCCAGTAGGACCCGCAGGCTCCTGCTCAAGCTGCCGGTGGGGACGCTGAGGCGAAATAGCGAGGAGAGGGTAAGACGCGAGATGATCCTTGTGTATGCACTGAATGCTGGTGGCTCAAGGTTATCAAGGACTGTCACTTGTGTGTTAGTTTGTGCAGCCGAGGAGAAAATTGAGATGATTCGCTGTTTATGTCTTGATATAATGGACGTGCACCTGCTTGAATCCTTCTGTAATTCTCTGTGAATTGTGTTGGTTTAATGCTCTCATGAGGGGTCTCTATCATCGCTTTGGCTTTCTGAGGTCTACAGTTTGGATGACTGTGAAAAGTGTTGCATAATATTGTTTGTTCACTGAAGATTACAGGTATCCCCTAGAAATCACCATGATTATCCCAAAACATGCAGGAGCCTGCCCAGATATGTGAATCATGTTAGCAGACAAAACACTCATACACCAAACTTCACTGTACTGTCATTTACTTGAACAGCCGCAAGGTAAAAGTTCTGTTCGTACAGATGTGCGTACAGTATGTGAGCTTTCTTTCTGTGTGTGGGTGTGTAGCCTACATCTCTCTTCATATTTTTGTGTGTGTGGTTGACATTTTGGGCCATCAAAGAACTAATAATGAAGTAATCATAGAGATCCATACTCTTGAAAACCTATCACAAATGCAAATTAGCATGATGATATCAAGCCTACCATGTCAGGCAGATCAAGTGGCAATAAAGTCATTATAGTTCTAAATAGTATTGATATTATTTAATCATAATTTAATATAACAGATATAGACAGACAAATGTGTGTCTAATTATGAAAATATTAACATGGATAATTAATAATAAATTGTTGATATTATTTAATCATATTTAGGATTAATCATTTATGAATTTAATCAAATCGATAATAATTCGAATATTTACTTATATATGTACTGTATGTATGTCTGAATGTGCAATATAATTGAATATGTATGATGTGTGATATATATATATATATATATACCTATATACACACACACATCTGTTCACCATCAGCCATTGAAAATGACCACTACTATACTATCTTCACATGACATGAAAACAACATGTGCATCTCTTTGTGAAGTGGCTTACATTCATGGCTTTTACATATTGTGTTGTGTGCTAATTTGATTCCAGTCCCGCACTAAAATTGCAAGAAATGTTTAATATTTTACAATGTCGTAGTATGCAATACTTCTCTTTCTCTGTCTTTCTCTGTCTCTCTTTGCTATGAGACAGATGTATATAATTATAGCAGTTTGAATTATTGATTAGAGGATTTCCTCACGCACATTTCTTTTACTGCATCCCTGCAGAGTTCCCCTCCTCTTCGCTGTCTTTCTCGTCCGCTCTGTCATTCTCGGTGGCCTGCGGCTGCCAGGAGTTTTAGTGAAGACACTTGGCTCTAACTGCATTGTGCCATGATGCCTACATGCATGTACATGCAAACTCGCATGCAAAAACTGACTCAAAATACTTTACACTCTCCATAATATCCAGTGCTGTGAGAGAGAATGTGAATCTGTGTGTGTCACTGTGATTCTTCATTACAGTGAAAGCAGCTTTACAAAACTCTGTTTCTACCGTCAGCAATGCTGAGCCGGCAGGCTGCAGAATCCATCCACTTAACTAATCTAACGCGAATGCCGTTAGTGCTCTCCACAAACTGTACCGTGACTAATGTGAGATTCGCTTGATAGCCGTTTTTAAAGGCTGCTCTCTATTGAATGTGTGTGCAAGCACGTGCCAGAATGGATACAGTAGTTGAGACTAAAGCTTCTTAGTTTTGGCCCGGGCCAGCTGGAGAGGAACAAACTACCATCTGAGATACTACTTCACCTGCTGAGATAAGTTAGCAAAAGAGATTGGCAACGTAATCTGATTCTGAAGTCCTGCTGATAGAAACATGTTAGATACATGTGGGACAACCATAAAAATCCAGAAAAAAAATAGCATTTGATAGAGTGGAATACGTTTTTGAGACTCTACCAACAAGCAAGAATTCTGCCTCCCACAGATTGGTTATGTGCCCATGTTAAACACAGATTAGAAACACTGTCACTTTAAGAAAGTACTCCTAATGTCCTAATGTCAGTGGACACCTGTCCACAGAATTGGTGTCTTCCATTCCAACCTCTCCACCACCATGGGCAAGACCAAAGAGCTGTCAAACATCAGGGACCAGATTGTAGACCTAGCTGCACAAGGCTGGAATGGGCTACAAGACCATCAGCTAGAAGCTTGGTGAGGAGGAGAATTTTGTTGGTGTGATTATTCAGAAATTAAAGAAATACAAAATGAAAAATCAATCGCACTTGGTCTGTTGCTCCATGCAAGATTTCGCCTCATGAGGTAAGTATGATCATGAGAAAGGTTAGGGATCAGCCCAGAACCACACAGGAGGAGCTTGTTAATGATCTCAAGGCAATTGGGACCACAGTCACCAAGCAAACCATTGATAACACACTACGCCGCAATGGACTGAAATCCTGCAAGGTCCCCCTGCTCAAGAAGGCACATGTACAGGCCTGTCTGAAATTTACCAATGAACATAATGATTTAGAGAAGGCTTGGGAGGAAGTGCTGTCCCATCAGTGTTGAGCTCTTTGGCAAGAATTCACCATGTTTGGAGGAAGAGAAATGCTGACTATGACCCCAAGAACACCATCCCTACAGTCAAGCACGGAGATAGAAACATTAAACTCTCGGGCTGTTTCTCTGCTAATTTCACTGTATGGGGCCGATGGATGGGGCCATGTACCGTTAAATCTTGTACAAGAACCTCCTTCCTTCAGCCAGAACACTGAAGATGGGATGTGGATGGGTCTTCCAGCATGACAATGACCCAAATTTACCCCCAAGGCAACAAAGGAGTGCCTCAAGAAGAAGCACATTAAGGTCTCGCAGTGGCCTAGCCAGACTCCAGACCTTAATCCTATAGAAAATCTGTGGAGGGAGCTAAAACTTTGAGTTGCCAAGTGACAGTTATGAAACCTCAAAGATTTTGAGAGTATCTGTTAAGAGGAGTGCACCAAAATCCCTTGTGAGATGTGTGCAAACCTGGTGACCAACTACAAGAAACGTCTTAACTCTGTGCTTGCCAACAAAGGTTGCTCCACCAAGTACTAAGGCATGTTTTGCTTATACAATACAAATACTTATTTCACTTTCTGAAATTCAAATCAATTTATAAACTTAATATAATGTGGGGTTTTTTTTCTGGATTTTTGATTTATATTCTGTTTCTCTCCGTTAAAATAAACCCACCGTTATTACATTTAACGCGATTTAGCCCATTTTAACGTGATTATTTTTTTTATTTCGAGATTAACGGTCTTTTTGGTCTAGGAAACTTTGTCGTTTTTTTCGCATGCTTTTGCAACAGGACATGGCATGCGCAACGCTATGAAACCCATTAATTTCAGTGGCTAAACCGCACAACACGGTCAAATTTCAAAATAGTTCAACATTTGCCGCTGTGACGATTAACAGCACGCCCAATAGAAACTTTTCAAAATCCAAAAAGTTTTGAAAAGTGGCGTAGCGCCGCGCATTCCGCATGCTGTCTGAAACCACTGAATCTAGCTAGACCGGATACACACTTGTTGCGAGCCGGCCAAATAATAGGTTAACGTTACGTTTTGAGTGGATGACGAGCGCGAGATGCCGAAATGGATGACAATAAGATTCTGAATAGAAAGTGTACTTTTAAAAAGTTGCCAAATTATTATTTTTTTAGATTGTGAACTGAGCTATCATTGATGGCCATTGGCCAAGCACACACACACACAGCTGATGCGAACCCCTCGTCAATATAAGGACCTCGTCAGTATTTCTTTCACCCTTTTATTGATACATTTTGTGGGAGATTATTTGGTCCAAGTGAGAATGTTTTAGTGTGAAATTGAACACAGTATTGTCAATGTTGTTTTCAATAAAACACATTTGCACAAAGGAAGCCGATCCACTATTTCATCTTGATAAGAGCATTAAAATTATAAAAAGTGATGCGACAAAAAGAAATCAAGAGACATTTAGAATAGATAAAAATGTGCGATTAATTGCGAGTTAACTATGCCATTAATGCGATTAATCGTGATTAAATATTTTATTATTTGACAGCACTAATAAATATATATATATATATATATATATCCATCTGCACAATTACATCTCACAATTTATTGCCCACTCTCCCACTTTCTCTCCCAGTTCTCCAGCTGTCTGTTGCAAGAAGGCATGTTTAATCCATCATATATCCATATGGGTCATAACCAGGGTGCAGATGTCTACCATCCTGTTTAACCATCAATTATGAGCTGTCAATCAGAGGACCACCGAAGAAGCGAATGGTTCATTCAACCAAAGTCCAACCCGACTGATGAGTTAAATTATATTAAGCTGCCAATCATCCAAAATCTGTTCACTTTTTTTACTAATGAAACACGATGGAAGTCTTCGCCTTATGTTTTCATTAGAAAGTGTCTTCGGGCTGTTCAGTGCCTTTAAGAGGGAGCGCTGGTCTTAATAAAGGAGCTGTGGTGTGTTGTGTGTCTGTCTGTCTCACTGGGTTGCGTTGATTGGCTCTTTTGAAACACGGTTGTAATTTAGGGATTTCCTGTGAGGATGGCAGACAAGGTTTTTTTGGGGGACGGCAGTGGTTGATAAGGCATAACCATTGGTATTAGCAGACAAAGCGATTTAATCAAAGAAACAAGGGCTTCATTCTCCTTCTCTGATTGCCGGGCTTCTCAAACTCCCCTCCTTCCCCTCATTGTTTTTTTCCCTTCCCCTTTTCTTTTGTTTCTGTGCTCTGCCATCTCTCATTTTCATCTGTTTGAGTGATTTTGACTCACAGCACCCACAGACAGCAGACATACACCACAGGATAATCACAGAGTGAGGCAGACTTTGTCAGAGAGAACAAGTAGTTTTGAATCTCACAAAAATATGTCCATGTTTACGCCATAATCGAAACTGAGAAAAAAAGCTATAATAGTATTATTATTTTACAATTATATGCACATTTCTCCCAAATTCTCATTACTA